CTGCTTTCTTGTAGCACTCAGAATCTCCAGCCTAGAGGTGTCCCCACTCACAAGGGGCTGGGCTCTCCCACATCAATCACTAATTAAGAGAGTACCCTATAGGTTTGCCTGCATCTCAGTCTTCTGGAGGCAATGTCTCATAGAGGTTCCCTCCTCTCAGATGACTCTTGCTTGTCCACTTGACATAAAACTAGCCATCACAGTGTCAAGGTGTATTCTGGATAGTCATAATTATATCAATAAATTAGTGCTGCCCTCAGCTTTAGTCAGAAAAGCTGTTTGCAGTGGGTGATGGCTTATACAGAGACTCATAACTGGGTAGAATGTGAGAACAGTGACTATTAGTACTTAGTCCTAAATGGAGCATCTGTATCACCCCTCCAAGGTTCAGGGAACATCAAAGAACAGGGGTCAGAAAGAAAGTAACAGCCAGAGGCTGGGAAGAGGTACTATAAAATGTTGTCTTCTAAAGAGACATGGCAGTTGCACCCTTGAACTCACAGCAACAGTCACTGCCTGCATAAGACTCACCCAAAACTGGGCCCATCAACATTCTATCATGGATGGAGGAGTTGCTCATAAGGCCCCACCCTTTCCTGAGGATTTGTAGGCAGTTAGTGGTTGCTGGGATAGGGAGAGTCAAATTCCTCAGTGGTGTAACTATTGTTACATTGTCCTTGTTCAAGTAAACAACTGCAGGTAGCCCTAAGAAAATGCAGCAGGTCACACACACACACACACACACACACACACACACACACACACACACACACTAATAGGAAAAAGTCATGAAAGTAGGAAAGGTCAGGAAGAAGAGGGGATTCAGTGGCTGAGGGGAAGGGGGAGGAAGAAGATGTGGGGGGAATAATGAAACAACATTATATATACTTAAGAAAGTGTGAAGGAAAAAGTAGTTTTTAAAATTAGATTAAAATAAAACATGAAATAGAAACTGTAGGATTTCTCAGTTTCATTTAGGAAAGACTTGCAGGGGAAAATGGTTGGGATCTGTCACAAGATATCAAAGTGGTGTTCCTGGGACAAGGACTATTGCTCACTTAGATCCATGGCCCTTTTCCCTTTGTGAAGCTGTAAGGATTTCGCCCCTGTCTTTAGCTGCCTGGTGGTAGCATGACTGATCTTCTGTTCCTGAGAAGATGATGTCTGGGATGATTTTCCTATGGATCCCTGGAAGCTCTGTCCTAACAAACAAAGGGATCAAGTCGTGTTTTCAGCAGCTGTGGCATTACAGTTTTGTGTAGGATATAAAAAGTCACCAAACCAAGGAAACAAAAACGTGATTAGACTAGCAGCAAGCTTACGAAATATAAAACCATCCTATTTCATAAGCGTGAAGGGAAATCATTAGACTATTTCAAGTTTCTCAGTTGGTATTTTAGTTGTGAGATTACACACAAAAACTAAAGGAATTAAAAACAATTGGGAAAGTGAATTAAGGCAACTTGAAAATGACTTTCTCCAATTTTCTCCTAAATTTAAATGTTTATTATTTCTTTTTTTTTCAGGCCACTTTTATGACACTTTATTTATTAAACAGAAATACTGGTATATACTGTACATGATCACCCCAGGGGACCACATTAGTATTACATAAAGTTTAATTTTGTAATATTTATTATTTCTTTTGGAGATTTACATTAAATGGTGAGGGCAGATATAAATACGCACCTCATTAGCTACTAATGTATCAACTTACAAGTTGTTTAACATAATTTAATTTCCTGTAGTAAATTTCCTCTTAATGCCTTTGCCCATATGTAAATTTAACAGGTTTTTAGTATTTTCAACTAATGTAAAATTGCAGAAGGCTGAGAATTCTGGTATCTGCCGCAATTCTTCACAGTTACAATTTATAAAGGAAGAGTGTAATAAAATTTTATTTAAAATGTTTTAAGCTGTTTTACAACAATACACCCCACGGAAAGCAGGAAATCTGCTGAGCCTTGTTAACCTGTTGAGAGTTACTCCTGCAGGGGTAAGATGGCTTCAGACAACACAAGACACAATCTGGAGTTGTGTCCACCATGGAAGACTACTTTACACTTTGTTCTAATTCAGGAAATGTTTTTAACTCTTTTCATTTTACTTAGAAGACTAACACGTGTAGATTGTAAAGGACAGAAAAAAATAAAACGGGTTGATTATCTCATCCCGTAGAGACAGCAGGTTTTGCAGAGTCTCCTAATGTTAATGTTGAGATGCCAGAGATATTCAGAAAGCACAAACCATGTAGTCTTATGTTTTACTTCTTATAAAATACCAAAATGGATAAGTCAGTAACATGGTACAGAACATAAATGTCACAGTGCAAAATAGGGTATAGCAGAAGTTTTGGATCCCAATAATAGTATTATTTAGGGTGTAAAACATTTTTAAATTTTATTTCTTGATTGCAAACAAAATAATGGGTTTCATTGTGTCCTTCACCCCACTGTTTTTCCCATTCTCATTGCTACCCTCCTGTTAGTACCTTTCCTTTTTGAAAATAGCTTCCTTTTCTGCTTTCGTGTTCTTGTTCTCTTTCTCTCTCTTAGTGTGTTTGTCTCTCTCTCTTCCTCCCTCTTCCTCTTTTTTCTCATTCCTCTCCTTCTCCTTCCCTTCTCTCTTCCGCCCTCTCCCTCCTCTTCTGCATCTCTATCTTTACCTTCCTCTCTCCCCCTGCCTCAACAAGATCCCTTTCTTTATCACATCTCCAAGAAATAATATACTGCGTTTTCTTCAGCCCAGGAGTTTTATTTTTCCTAACTTTTTAATGCTTATTATTAAGTCTCAGAGAGCAGAACTTGAGGTCTGGGGATTTCTGTTGTATAAGTGTTTTATGAGTAAGGACTGATCTATACGCCAGCAAGACATACTCATGGGAGTTAGAGAACAGCAGGGCTTAGCAGATCAATAATGACATACTGAACCTCTAGCCTATTGATCACAAGGTTGCGTGGGACAAGCACAGGTATTATATTGGTTAATATCTCACAATAGGCTAAATGCATTGCTCATACCATTCAATCTCATTACTGTTTATTAGCTAGATGGTATCAGGTATAGATCCAGAAAATGAATTCTTAATTACCAACATTCACTTCCAACATTCACCTGTTCCTAGAATCAGGTGGTCTTTTACATAACAGAAGCAAACAAAGCAAACAGCATGCCACTGATCTGTTTTTCAAATGTTTGGAAGTGTCCATTTGTTTCTACAGATTCCCACATCATAGGCATTAAATTATGCTTTAATTAGAAATGCTTTCCTGAGTTACTTCCCTACTATAAACTAAGCCTGCTTCCTCCTGTATGTTCTAAGCAAGGCTTCTCTCAAGTCTGCTTCTTATGACTGAGAATACCGTTCATAGGGTAAACTTTGGCAGGTTGAGGCCCTTCTTCTTTTGGGCTCCCCAGTGGACACTTTGCTCGTACAGACAGAGTTTCTGAATTATTCTCTCTTGAGGTTCATGTTGGAGCCAGAGCTGCTGATTCCTATGTCTTGGTATAAACCACACCCTTGGTATACATACCTTGGTATAAATTACACCCTCAAGAGGGTCAACAATGTGTTCATATATAGCAATGGCAAAAGTGGAGGCTGAAAAATGTTCTCAGACTAGTGTTTTGGTCAATCAGAGAAAATTAAGGTTTGTTTCAAACCCTGGTGTCCCATGCTCATAATTAGGAACAATAACGCATATCTGTAATGATTTATAAAAAGAAAGAAGCAGATTTCCAGCTTCCCATTAAAAATAATAATAAAAAAATCTATGATCAACAGTGTAACAGGCCTCACATAAAGTGACACTAGAGAATCTTTGATTTGACCTTCCTTTAACATTTTAGTATCTAATAGGAAGTCCCTACCATGGACTTGGAGCTTCATAAATGAATGAATGAATGAATGAATGAATGAATGAATGAATGAATGAATGAATGAGTGAGTGACACCAACTGTGACCATGTCAGTCTGTCTAGTATCTGTTAGGGAACATTGAGGAGGACAAAGCTTAGCTGAAGCTCAATTAGAGACTTGCTGGAAAAATGATCTCATATTTTATAAAGTATCTCTACTAGAAAACAACCTGAGAAAACATTTTTCAGCTTGATTTTCTGTTACCTAAAAGTCTTCTGCTTTTGGTTTATCTCAATAGTGTAGCGCTACCTATAATCCCATTTTAAATTACTTCAATGTTTCTTAATCCATTTCTCATTGGCAAATTCCTAATTATATACCATCATTCACAGATCACAGCTAAAAAGTACAGAGACTAACTTCTGATTATTAATTCTGTTATTGGTGTCATTGGTAAAAAATTTTAACATCACAACTTTAAATAAATTTTTCATATGCCTTTATATTTTCAAGTTTTAGAGTTCTCTTATTACTCATAAATATTGATATTAACTTTAAGTAATGTTCCAACTAAGGCATATTAATAAAACATAGCCTTCCAGTGGAACAGGACAGGATATAGTAGTGCTAACAGTGTGTGTGTTTGTGTGTGCGTGTGTGCATTGAACAGTGCGGCTCTCTGGGTTTGGCACACAGAAGAAAATCGTGACAAAATCTGTTCTTGCTTTCCTGATGCAGTAGAACAAAACACTAAACTCTTTCCTGGAGCCTAAGGGAATTCCACTCTCCACTGCCAATGGAAAGTTTCTTTTCAAAGGCAGAAAGACTTGAGCATACCTGGGAAACGGAAAGTTGCTTCATGGTTTCTCCTGGCTTTTCCTGGTGATAATTGCCTGCTTCTCAGCGGTCCTTCACCACATCCATCCATCCGTCCTAGGAGGGTCACAGATCGCAGAACAACCACAGAAACAGGAAAACGAACTTCCTGAGCACACTGCAAACACAGAAACCTGTTTCCTCTGTACATATCAGATGGTCAAAAGCCAGTTTTAGCACGGTCAGTACAGAAGTGGCTGTCAGGGAGACTGCAAGGACTTTGTGTCCCAATTTCACATGAATTTTTGTGCGTAAATCTACAGCCATGAAGGGGCTAAAGTTGCTCGTCCTGCTTTCTATTTTATGGGGCAGGGTCTTTGGGCTTACAAACAGCCAGCGTTCATGGACTGAAACTGAGGATGAAAACTCCCCACTGACTCTGAACTCCACCTCAGCTCCTCTAAGTGAAGTACTGAGCCTCCAACTCCTCTTGGCCACCGAGAAACCTTCCAACAAGGCAGCTGCAGCTCCCGAGGAGAAATCTTCTGAGGACACTCTTCTACCATCAACACCACAGCCCTCTGATACAAGCATCCCTGCCGAGGGGAGGGGAAGCCGAACACCCTCCGCCATAGAGAAGACAGACGTGGTATCGCTGCCGCTTTCTCTCCAGAGCAAATCCACCGTCAAGCTCAGCCCTGGAGCAGAAACGGTGATGCTTGCTAATGCCACGCTGAAATTCCTTCAGAGTTTTTCCAGAAACTCCAATCAACAAGCAATCTCCCCCAAGTCGGTTGGAGACATGGGAAACAGGTCTCCAAGGGGAACACAGCTCAGCAGAAGTGACAGCAGAGGAAATCAGAGGACCAGCTATCAAAAATCCAGTTTTGAAACAACTAGAGGAAAGTAAGAAACATTCTGTTCTTGTTCTGTCTCTCTATAGACAAGCAAATGCTAGAAGTCTGCAGTCCTTCATGCTCACGGTACTTCTTGGTAACATCTGATTGCAGTTGTGGTTTCAAAATTTGCAGTCATAGCCTTAGGGAAGAGATGAGAGAAGGACAAATGGTTGAAATCTCTTCACTTGTCCAATTGTGGCTGCTCAGGATCATGAGTGGCTCCACCAAGGCAATGAGAACCACACCCACATGCCACTGTGAAAGGTTATTGTGGAAAATTGAGTTAGGAGAACTTAGATGTACATGGCTCATAAAACAGGTGCCAGCAAGTCACATTTAAGTTATCCCATAGCGTTACACTTGTCAGGAGTAACACAGCCAGCTGAAAGCTGGCTTCTCAGCTTGATTTAAGGTGACAGCAGTTTGAATTGTTGGGGTAAAATAAGACTAAGTTTAAATGAGCATTGTAAGAAAAGTCTCAAATGGGCCCAAAAATGAACCACAAAGAAAACACACACCTAAGCAATTGAAGGTTTTAATTACATATGAGTTGGTCACCTGCATATTTAGAGGCATAAGCCAACCTTATAAATAATTTTACCTATAGTGAAATAGCTTTGTGACTGAATTGAGTTAGACATTATACCAATAAAAGACAATAAAATTTAACCTAAAATTAGTAATTCACTCCTACTGTGTGAAAGATGTTTTGAGCAAGTTGTTGATTAAATAATATGAGAGGCAAAAGGCAAGAAAGTAAAAGCCAGCGCATGTGTCTGAGTTTTTATTAGTCAAGTCTGTTTATTTATAGCATTTTATGGTCATAAAACTTTAAAGATATACAGATAAGTATGATTTTAGCTAGAAATTCACTTAGACTTTGGAATAACCCAAATTAACTGTGAAACAAGTGCTGCCTACTGGTCATGTTTAAGCTGGATGAATGGACTTCATGTGCAGCTGTTAACACACACCCTCCTTAGTAAGAAGTCCCTTACTAAATAAAAACGATAAATGGTGTCTTTTAAGAATCTCTTCTAAACTGCTTACATTTGTCATTTCTATTTACCATGCTTTATTAATGACTTTAATTCAATTATCTTTAATTGCAATAGAACTCCCGAACATTCATAGAAAATGATTGTGAGTTTTTCATCTGTCTGCAATTGGGAGAGTTCTTGTAATAGGAAAAAACCAATACAGCAAATGAAAATATAATTAAACTAAAGAACCACTTATACAAGAAGTATGTATCATAATTAAAATTACTATTTAACCATTTTATAAATAAATATTAGACTTGACATTAGAATGGCATCAGATTTTGAACTAACACTAGTCATTTTAGCTAAGTCCCTTGCTCTCAACACTTGGGAAGACTTTTTTACTTGGCCATTGTTTATGAGTGTCCATCATGTGCTTGGCAATCTTTGAACAGACAAAGAATTTGAACATCCTATCTGTATGGAATATTTACTACAAAAAGTAAATATTGAATTTCTCAGAATTCAATGTATGTTTCCAGAGAACCACAAATGAAATACAACTAGTTGAACAGCACTTTACTTTGTGGATTCCCTGATAAAAATCTTCAATTGCTCCATAGTAAAGTAACAACTGATTTAGAGATTGTGTTGTTTGTAGTCCTGGAGAACCTGGGTCTCTCTTTGTTAATCTTCTCTACTTGGTCTAAGATATCCTACTCATTAGGTCTTCCAAATGACAGAAGTGTGAAAGAACAGCCAGGTTTCTCCCAAGACACAGAGACCCCTAGAAAACTCCAGTTAAAAGAAGGTTTTCTTCTTTTTAGTTGATTAACAATAGTAACAGCGAACACTTATATGTCCTCTCTCCCTCCCCCCTCTCTATTTTGTATGTGTGTATGTGTGTGTGTGTTTGACCCAGTTAACCAGTACACATAAAAATAACTTCCTAACAAAGAGAAGACTCTTTCACGGTGCCTTTCTAGAGAGGCTCAGTGATTGACCTAAACTCACTTGGTTACTGTATCTAAGGACAGAGATGAGCTGGCCTCAGAGCTTGGTGGCGAGCTCCTCTCTCTTTCAGCAGGAGAGAGGCCATCATCTCAAGTGGAAGCTAGAGCAAGCCTCTCTTCTCACTGCTTGTGAATCTCCAACGGCTCTTGGCTGCCTGCAGAATGTATTTTGGATTCCTCGCCCAGTTACTCACATAACCTTACATTTTTGTCCTCAGCCTCATATTCTACCACTTTTTGCCTGCCCAAATTGTGATTCCTTGGTCCACAGTATATTGTACCTTCTTTTTCTCTCTCTCTGTCCAGACAGCATGCTCTTTTCCTGTTATTTATTCCTTTTATACCCAATGGCAGCCTTCTCAGGCTGCTAGGCAGTCCCTCTAATGCCTCTGTGGTTCCTCATCTGTTATCACTGAACTTACAATAGAGATTCCTTCCTTCCTTCCTTCCTTCCTTCCTTCCTTCCTTCCTTCCTTC